GAAGTACAGGTTAGTCGGGAGGGAAAATAAAGGCTGGAGTTGAAGGATCCTAGTTGAGGAGGAAAGTCTGTGCTGGCATGTTCACCTCAGAGCAACAGATGGGTGATCTCTGATTCGCTGTAACTCCTCTATGCTGAACGTGGCATGCATCAGTATAGTACATATCTCTAATAAAAGGGTGTGTCCTACTGCCCGGATTAATTTTTCTTAACTTCCCCCTCCTCACCTTGCCCTGCGCACACCCTTCTCTCTGGGGGGGTGTGAATTTGTGAATTCTGACAGGCAGCTACCTCTGGAATACAGTGCAGCAGCTATTTAGGGACAGGCGGTGACAATATGGGGTAGGACAGGGACTGAAGGGGTGTGCTGTTGTATCATGTTGCCAATAGTGCAACAAGTGCTCCTTACACTTGCAGCACAAAGCTGTTACCTGCTATTGTAGGGTGGTCCAGCTTTTTGTGTCAGTGAAGAACTTGGTCTATCAGGTTAAATCACTTCTTACGATATGCGAAGCTGACAAACTTATGTCTAGGTTTGAAAATACACTTTCAAATTCTCCAGTGCTATTTTTTCCTAGATGTAATGACATAATTACCAGTTGCAGTATAGGAAGCAACAATGAAGCAAACAAACACAAGCAGCTGGGAAAGAAAAGTGAAGGTCCAGCTCCCCTGTTTGAAGCTGTTGATTTTTTTCTTCTTCCCTGTTTCCCCTGGTGTTCCCACCTGACTTCAGCCACTATATTCATTTGCCCACATGGTGGGCACTGGTGTTAGTTTATATGCTAACTGGAATTATGCAAATAGTACATGCATTTCTTTGTACATTTGTGTGAACAGTCTGTGGCACGAAATACAAAGTTTTGGCCGGCAATGGGGGGCTCACTGTGTGCTGTTAGTATACACACAACCATCACGTAGGCGGCATCTGTCTGTGTTGCAGGTAGCTCAAACTACTCAACTGCTACTGTAGCCTCAGCTGCAAATAGTTTTGCCAAACAGCAGTAAGCTGCTGCACAGACAAGAAAATTCTCTGAAATTCATTAATGCAGTGAATGCTAGAAGCAGTTGTTTAACTCCTTTTTAATCTTTACATATAAGATAAATAGAGGCCAGTGACTGACTCTTCTGGCACATGAATCAAGGGGCATCAAATGAAACTGGCAGGTTTGGAACAAATGAGAGAAATGTCTTCACAGAATTGTAGTTAAGCAGTGGAACTCTTTGGCAAGAGTGCTGTGTGGACTGAGAGATTTTAAAGTGATTAGATGAATTTGCAGAAGAGAAATCATTTAAGGGCTATCGAATGCAGTGTGCATCTCTGGCTCTGGAAATCCCAAAGCTGCAAATGGCTTGTGCTTGGGAGAGCATCCAGAGGCAAAACTGCTGTGTGCGTGCCCTGGTTTTGTGTGCCTCTCCAGGTATCCACTCTTGGCTCCTCTCAGAGATAGGGTATCTAGTAGGACCTGATGCGGCGGTCCTTGCTGCGTTAAAAATCCCCCGAGATAGTCCATAAATGATCTGTCTCTGTTGTGTCAGCATGCAGTTTTGATGTTTGTAAAGGGCTTGTCTATGCAAGGAAGAAATTCTGGAGAAATGTAAGGCATGAATTTTAAGTAGTTTGCTGTGTGAAGGTTTTTACTGTAAAATAAGAATTACTTTAAAATTAAGTAAGGTTTTTTTTCTGATTTCTGTTACGTAGGAAGCCATGCAAATAATTTGCTTTAGTCAGTTTCCCGTATAGATAAATAATACTAATTAAGTTTGTTCTGATTAATTGTTGACATATTTAATTTGTTAGAGTTTTGCTGTTTTGTTTTATCTTTGGGGTTTTTTTTCTGCATGTTTCTTTTGTCCTAGAAAGCCAAGTTCAGACTACAAGGAACATGGTCAGTGTAGCTTTAACCACTCTATTTAATACATGTTTGTATAACCTAAAAAACTCTGCCTTTATAGTTTGTTCAGTTCAGCCCCACTGATATCAATGCAAGTTTTTCATTAGCTTCAGTGAGTGTTGGATCGGGCTGGAGATATTAACTTAAAGTAATTTAATTTCTTTTTTTTTTTTTTATCCCCACCCATTTTAGTTTTCTACTTCCTTCCTTTTACAGAGGTGGAGTTTCAGGACTAGACATTCCAGTTTGCCAGAGACGTGTTGCTACTGAGGCCTGTAGCTATGAGGGACACCCATCAGTCCACTCACTATGTTAATTGCTACTCACTTAGAGGTTATTTGGTTGAGGCTGGCAGTAGACAGTCAAGCTGGTCATAAAGGTTGTGCATAGCAGGAGAGCTCTGAAATCAAAGACAAATGCTCTTTGCTGCTCCTAGGGGATTTTCTACCTAATTCGGGACTGACTGGTGAGCGGGTGCTTACGGAGGTCTCAGCTTAGATTTCAGCCGAGTGCCCCAAGTTCACCACCTGAGAATCACTGAGTGCCGCAGATCAGAAGTGGGCCCTGTGAACAGAGAGACAGTGATCCTTCGTGGCCATTAGCCAAGGAGCTGGGAATTTTAGTGACTATGCCCCAATTTATTAAACAGCTATTACTTAAGGGCCTTTTTCCCCCTTTCCTGATGTCCTTAAATAAATATTCCTTTACTAGTATGAAAGAACATTTACTGACCCATTTATAAACTATAGCCATTTACATGTCTCAATAAACTAACTTGTGGGTAGGGATTGGAAATGAACTATATATCTCTGTTGCTGTGAGAGGCAGATGCTTTGAGCAGCAGTAATGCAGATTTTGATTTATAAAGTTCTCCAATCAATACAAGACTGACTGAGGCAATCAGATAATCTGAATAATTAAATGGCTTTTCAGCGACAAATTAAAATTTCTTATACATACCACATCCGTCTAAATTATGTTTGGTGTCCAGGAATAAATGGGTTAGTTGTTTTGTTTCACTCCTGTATCACAAATGCTTTTGGCTTATTTCTAGACCATTTAAAAAAAAAAAAAGGATAAATGACATTTTCTGCTCTTTTATATTGGAAACAGTACTCACAGAAAGAAAATGCTTGTTTCCATACAGTTTTTCTTTAAATTTAGATATATTATACCATCTTGCTTTTTCCCCTTATCAGAGATGTTTCCACAATAATTGTTTGTTTTTTTTTTTTTTTACTCACTTCATGCTTTCAGATGTGATATCCTGCTTCACCTCTGCATGAAGTGAATAAGAGTGGGAATTACTGGATCTTCTCATACTTTTCACTTGCTTAAGGAAATTACTATGCAGGAGGTTTCCCCAACTGAGGGAGGCAAGAATTTTTCTTTTGTTTACTACATCAGAGTATAGTAAAAAAAGCTGGGAGTGAGAGGGCACAAGGAACAGAGTTTCCTTAGGCTAAATGGAAGTAAAATAATTCACAGGTGCTCCTGTTCCCAATTCCTCCCCAGTTCCTCAAGGTGTGTTTTTGTAATCGGTTCAAGTCCACCTAAGTCTGCAGCACAGCAGAGGTGTGGCAAAGAGGTGCCACCTCATCCACCCCCAGCTTCCATGGCCTCTCCTTTTGTTCTTTGCCCTCAGTAGGGCTCATGTGGCCAGGTAGAGATCCAGGAACTGAATCTGGCTGAAAGCTGAGCTGAAATAATAAAAAAAAACATTCAAGGATACAAGGAATGCACAGGTGGTTCATAGCTTGAAGTGAAGCACCCTGGAACCAGATCTGTACAACAAGACTGAAAGCTAGTCTTGAGCTAGTCTTCAGTTTGCACATGAAAAATGCTCCTCAGAACTACAGACACTTGTAAATGAATATCATGTCCATCTCCTCCACCCTCAATTAGTCATCGCATAACCAAGCTATATGCGTTTAGTCCTTTTCATCTTTCTTCTTGTCAAGCCCTTTAGCCTGTCCCCCTCACCTACTCATCCCACCAATCATTTTAATTAATCTCTGAATTTCTTTGAAACTACTAGTTTGTGGAATGGAGGAAAATGAGTAGGTTAGAGAGACAAGATTGTGAATGATGGAGGTGGGGCAAAGTTAGGAGACTTTGCAAGACCTGTTGGGTTACCTCTGGGGCAGGACAGCAGCACTGACTGTAAACACAGAGAAAGACTGCAGAAGTAAGGGAGGAACCACTAAAAACATTTTCCATTTTCTTAAAAATGGTGTCTGAGCAATTCAAACCCTGGACATTTATGTGCAGCAACAGGTGAATGAAAGATTTGATATGAGTCTCTAAAGTAGAGAGGATGTTCTCCTCTTTACCCAATAATTAGTTATACTAGATTTCTCACTATTATTTTTCCCAGTCCCAGCTAGCTTTATAGAGGATTTCAGTGGTCACTGCAAGTACTCAGTCATATATTTTCAAGTAAGTAATGAACTATATTTTTTTTTTTATTCAAACAACTGAATGTATTGTATAATTTTTGATCAAAACCCTGACCAAATAGAAGTTAACTACATTGTCTAGAGATGAGTCTGAAAGGAACCCTGGGGCCTTGCTCCCCATGCTTTTTAGGGTGTTACAAATCTAAATGTCACACCATTAATGTCTCTGTGTTCTTTATTTCTATATCATAGCACAGCCGGTGCTCCGAGAAACAGAGAATTGGGCGAAGTTCCTGTCCTGTGGAGCTTACAGTTGGAAAAAATCCTCTACACACAAACAAGGCTGGCAGAATAGCAGTTGATCCGCAGTGGGAGCCCAAAGAGTGAAGGTAAGCAGTAGAGGAGGCACTGGAGGACATGTGGCATATGGGAAGCAGACGGATGCGCTCAGCATTGTGAGCTGGCAGCATGAAAAAATTTACCATACAAATAGAAGCATGCTAATGCTGAGTGGTGGGGAGGCAGACGAACACCTTTGAAAAGACATTTACTGTGTTTGGGGACAAAGATCCTGCTGGAAGTGTGCATTTGTTCAGATATTACTGAGGCACAGTTTCACTGCGGAGAACTGAAGTTTTCTGGCATTTTGACATTTCAGTAAGCACATATTGAAGTTAAGTAGTGGCAACAGAATGCATTGATTTATGGTTGCCAATCGTGACTGAAAGCCTCAGAATAACTGGATTTAACCTTGCAGAGCCCTGGGTAGAATAGCTCAGTTTTGATTAGGGTCTCAGAATGGATACAAAATGCTTGGATTTTTAATTAATAAACAATCTGGCATCCTGTCAACATTGACACCTCACTCTGTCTTAGCAGCTGTTGGAACAGTAGGCTCCTGGCAACCTAGGATAAAGCAGTGCTTGCAACAGGAGAAGGAAAGGAAGCGAGTCTGTGTGAGACCAAAAATGCCTAGTGTAAAGCACCATAGAGCTTAGGGATTTCCAGTGAGCAATCAAGCTTTCCTTCTCTATGCTGTGGGTTCAGGCTTGGACATGGACAGTGAGTTTCTGTTACTGAATGTCACCAGTGGCTGGTGGCTGACAGATGTAAGGACACGTGTCTGAATTTGAGTAATGTTTCTGACAGTAGTAGCAGTAAACAGAGAAAGCATTGAACAGTGAAAGTAGGTCCTGCAGGTTGTTCCTTCCCAGGGATTATAGTGGTGGAGCCTGTGGGGAAGTTTACAGGGTGCCTGCTCATGTAATTCAAATGGAAACATTCACTCTGGATGACAGTCATTTGTGTTGGACTCATGGTGTGGGAGCAGTTAGGGTTGCCAAATAGCCAAGGAAGGCATTGTAGGAAGGAAAGGGCACGGCCTGGGTAGGGCAATACCTGGAAGCACAAGCAGAGTTAAAGACTTCAGTTTTAGAGAAGATGCTACTAAGCTGCTACTCTTCCTCAATCCCATCCGATTAATAATAAACAATCTGATCTCTGATCGCAGCTGACATATCACACAGCGACTGCGTAGCTGCTCCCCACTGGTCTGGGCAGCCCTGTCACCTCACAGGATGGCAATGTCCTGGTCTTGTCCACAGCAGCCCCTTAGGACTTCCATAGGAGAAGAACCAGGATACTTGAAACCTTCAAAATTGCTGTTCTTTCCTCTTTTCTTCGGTAAAAATTGTATGCAGTTGCCAACACTGCAGTGTCTATATGTTCCCTTGTTTCAGAAGGAAGCCGAGATGGAAAATTTAGTCCCAAATCAGTATTGATCCCTACCTGAGATCTTGTTTGTTACAATGGGTTCAGGAGCACTGTTCACATATATGCTGGAGGAAGTACTGCATGAACAGCCAGCAGTGCATTTGGCAGATGCGTTGGTCAGCTCACAGGACTGTTTACACAGTCTGTTGAGAACATATGAAACATATAAAAAGCCATAACATTTGACCATATTAGAAACACGTTCATGAGATCAAGGAAAATTTTTATGATAAGAGGACAATAATAAAGCAAAGGCCTAAGGGCTTGTGATGGCTGCTGATTGAAATTCAGATTTTTTTAATTTTACTTTTTTTTTTTTTTAAGGGAGCACAAATAGAAAGACATTCTAAAAATGGCTGTATGGTATTTAGAGATCTGGGTACCAGCTGCAGTGCGCACATATTTGCAGAAGCTTCTGTTCAGCTTAGAATGGGCTGTGGGCTCAGGTAAGTCATGTGAGAGAGGTTAAGCACACGTGTTGTAAGAGCTAATGGTACAAAGTAGCCTTGTTCTATATAAGCATGTTTTGTGCTGATGTTTTCCAGTTATTGCGTTCCTTACAGTCAGTATAGGAAAAGGTGTGTGGCTGGCAAATCTGCAAGCCCAGACAAAGCAGTTCTGGGTGTGGATGGTTACAGCCTATTGCCAGGTGCTTCAAATAGGCATTTATGTCAAAGATCTGAGGTCAATTCAATGATAGCCAATTTCAGCCCTAGATGATTACATAAATATTAATAAGAACAGTGGTGTATTTCACATTTATGTTACCTGTCTGCAAAGTATTTACCTAATCCTGTAGCAGTAGTGATGGGGAATATATATCCCTTCAAGACAATCAAGAGAATTTACAAAGTGAAGCAAAAATTTGTTCACCTCTTTGATGTAACCTCGTGAGTTTAAAGTAATGTTATTTTCTGTATACCAGTAGAGAAAAACAGGAGAGCAGAATAAACTCAAATGGGATAGAACTGCAGTCTTCCCGAGTTTTGCCTCCCTGCTGAATGACCCTTAACCACTTTTTGCATCTCTGTGGTTTGGTTTCCCTGCCTGTAAAATGGGCATAAGACTGAAGTTCTAGTAAAGCATGCAGACCTATGGGGAATAAATGCTGTACAAGTGGTATGAACTATTTTTATTTAAAAAATGCATTAAGGAAAAAGGTACAGAAAAGGAATGGAATTTCATCTGGAAGACCTAGGATTAATTTATTGGTATAAAATATTTGTTACTGGCCCCATTTGCTTTTAGGATATCAACCATTGACATTTTTATTGGTTCATCAGCCTTGTAATGTGTTTTGAATCTGACCCAGGACTCTGTGGAGCACATACTGGCACCTAGATTTATGCCATTTTTACTCTGTGGTCACTCTCTAACATTTTGACCAAATATCTTCCAGTTGCTCTGGGCTTGCTTTTTTTGGAGGGGTTTTGTTTTGTTTGTTTGTTTGTTTGTTTTCTTTACAATTAGAGTCTCTGCTGCGAGAGGCTCTGACAATGATTTGGAGTTGTTAATGTCAAAAATGCTGTGTAGGAGGAAGTATTACATGTCAGCTTCCCAGAAGGGGAAGGCACAGCGATCAGCACCTCTCCAGAATCACACAGTTAGTTTCTTTGAAGAAAAAGCCTTGATACTTAGTCCAAAAGTTTGACAGGGAGATAATCACGTGAGACACAGGAACTCTTCTGCATTATACACCCCTTGGGAAAGTGGATGAGTGCAACAGCCACTCCCTCCTCGCAGGAGTGGGTATTGCTAGTCCTGGGGAGGTGAAGCTTACAGCCCCCTGGAACACTTCCACCCAATAAATCTGCACCTAAACTTTCTTGCCTGTTTTTACACGTATGTTAAGTTTTAAAATACTATACATATAGCAATAATTTTTAAGGAAAACTAAGGAGCGCTTTTTAGCAGATGTAAATCAGCACAATTTACGATGTCGTTAGTTCCCCAAGTGCTTTCGGCCGGCACTGCTGACAAAAGAGGCAGTCCTGCCCTCTTCCTGCTCCCACGCTGTCCCCTCCCTTGCGCTGACACAGCCATGAGGTGAAGTGTGTTGGGAAATACATCCCGTTCAAATCTATCCCAGCAAAAAACCTGAATGGCCTGGGAAAGAGGCGTTTGCTTCTTTTCAGGGTGTCACCAGCATATCCCAGATTAAAGACCTCATGGAACCACCGTGTTAGTGCAATTCAGTGGTCTCTGTGAAAGCCAGGAGCTTCGCTAGTTTGTCCCAACAGCTTCTGGCTAAAAGAGAATTGCGCTGCAGCTGGAAACTCAATCAAGCGAGTTTCAAAACATTTCATTCATACGTGGTCCTCAGTTGATTCTTAATACACCTTTACTATAGCCGGTAGTGCTTCATAAGGCTGTCAACATTGCAGTCAAACAAAGGCTCCTCTCAAGATTTTGTGTTGTGTAAATAAAGCTCGTGCCTAGCAGGGTGTCACTGAGTTAATGTAAAGCCCGAAAAGGGGAGGGCGTGGGAGCAGCATGCCAGCATTAACATTCTGTTTTCTGCACAGGATTGCAACAGGATTGCAACAGCCCAGCCTATCTGAGCTGCTGCACGTACTGTAAACATGTCTCTGCACTTGAATTTGATATGGGTGGTGATAGAACAATATACCTTTCTGGGAAATGGTAATGGACAGCAAGATTTTGTTTTAAGGAAATTCCGAATAAACAATAGCAGTTTTCTTCTTAGAGTGCTGATGCTTTCCAGGTGGCCCACCAGACAGCCAAACAAAGGAAATATATATGGCAGCATTCACTCAAGGGTTAAAGTTTCAGGGCAAGGAGGGGGAATGTTGAAAATCCCATGAACTTTAATAGTTATGCTTCTATCTTTGTGGTAGCTCTGACTCCTTTTCTTGCTTCTCACAGATCAGTAATCAGGGGACAACTGACAGGAATAAACCCCCTGGTAAAAATATACAACAGTGTTTGAAACAAACAGCATTTCATATGCAAAGCTGTCTGGTAAAGTGCATGCTCAGGGTGCTTTTTCAGGCCTCATGGGAAGTTTTACAAAGAGCAAGCTATCTTTTAACAAGTGCTTTTCTGTTAGTTTCAAAATCCTGTGTTGCTTTTTTCTAGAATGATTTTCCCACAAAAGGTGATACAAACTGTAAGAAAAGTCCCAGTAGAATTTACCGCTCCCCTACTCCCTTGTCTCCCTCCCTCCTCCCCCAAACACTGGGAGCTCTCAAAAATATTTTAGTATCCTGGAGATTAAAAACAGTGTCTTTAATTTGTATTTGTCTTGTAATAGCTCTGACTTTCACCGCCTTGTCCTCCCCTTTATTGGGAGTACATGTGTGAGCACTCCCTATAATGTTGTTTATATGCTCACTGTCAGGTTCAATAAGCAGTTTCTTAGCAGGGCACCTTCCCATGTGAAGGAAATGTTTCCAGTTCTTGTCTTAGCTCCTGCTTCCTCCATATGCAGTGTCTTGACAAGGCACAGCAGAGAACAACAGAAATGAACATCAGCGGTATCAGTAAATCTTAGCTGATAAATGGAAATTACCTCTAGAACCTCATGAATCTGCTGGCAGCTTAGATATAGGGCAGCTGTTTACAGGGCATTTTATAGGTGTTCCAGTTATGCGAGTTTTGTGTAGTGCCTATTTTAAGTTTAGGCATTTTATTAATAGTGGGTCTGGAAAATTTTAGAACTGTGGTACACCAATGCACCTCTTAGGCAACACTGAAAAGAATGTGGTAATCTGTTTAAGGATTCTCTATGTAAATAGGGATATTGCTAAAGAGAATCAAGATAAAATGTAAATGTGAATAATTGCTCCTAAGACAAAGAAAAATTGGCAAGCAGTCGTATAGAAATTAGAGATTTAACTAGTTTTATACCACAGGTACTAAATCATACTGGTGGAGTCTCAGGTCTAGTCAAGTGAATGGCAAACCCACAGCTAACTTGTAGGACCAAGGATTTCCCCTTCATGAATGGGTATAGATAAGTAAAATTTCCCAGAGCAGAAAAACATGTTATAGAAGTGGCCAGTTTTCAGTTTTGAAGTAGAAGAGATACTTTCATTTTCAGTATCTCCATTAGAGCTTCTTTTTGCAAGACCAGGAGTGTTAACTCTTGTGTCTGAGCCAAAATTCCAACCTAAGCAGAATGTACTCATCTAAATTTCCCTTTTGGTTTCATTTGGACAAGGTATTCTTTGGTGTAGTGTTGCTGTGTACTGTTACAGCAGTTGCTGTGTTCGGAGCTCGGGAAAGCGCCCGCATGGAAGAGATTACATAAAAACTAGACCATTATAAGCTCAGAGAAACCCCTGAGTGTGATGATTAAAAAGAGAAAACTATTAGGGAAAACACATCAAAGAGTCTCAGTGAGAGTCCTAAAAGGAAAAATACTGATTATATTTGTTTTGATTTTGTCTTACATGAAGTAAAAGATGTGTGGTGTGTCCTGGGTCACCACCTTAAGGGGTGTGGACTTAAAGACAACAGAATCAGACTCCAAGACTTCAGTGTGGTTTATTTTGGTTGCAGGGCTGGGAAGATAAGATATGATTGTACCATATACATAGTGGTGCTATCAATCTGACAGATTATACTTCCCGTACACCCCTGACCACCTTGCCTACCCTCTGCCTGTTAATCTGTTTCTAGCAGGATAATTCCTAGCTTTCTGACCTTTCAAGAAACTTTCAACTACGATTTTTAAAACAGTCACAAAAATGTTTTTCTTTCTCCAAATGTGCAATTCTTCTCTCTGATGAAAGCAGTCAGAGGCATGAGATGGGTAACATTGATTACTAAAGCTGGTGTGCAAGTTCAGGTTCAATAAATTGTGAATCTTAGGGGCTAAAAATTGTTTAGAATTCCATTCTGGGTCTGGGAATAAGAGTAGACATGTATTGATAGTCCTGTTGTTCACACTCCACCAGAGTCTAATACTGTTATTTTAGAACAATGTTAGATTCATTTTTTAAAGTTTGTTAGACTTGGTCTGCCCTGGGAACCATGTTAGAAAAGGTTTGAACTAATGAAATATGCAAAATGTGGTTTTAAGGCTCTCCTTTAATGTGGAAAAGGGAAGAAAGGTTTTAGTTGGTTATAGCAAATCCAGTGAGGGAACTGTTTACTTAACGCTTTCACAGTTGTTTTTTTTTAATGTGCCTTTTCAGACCTTTTCAGCTGGGTTTAGTTCATGTGGACTAGCATATTAAATAATGTTTTCTACTGATACATGTTTTTCAGTTGTTACTCTGACTCCAGTAGTTACAGTCATTTTCCTTCTGGCACGCTGGTATAGTAGATCCCAAAAAGCGAAAGGAAAATAACTGAACAGGACTTTGGAAATGGGGGAATATAAAATATAATCCCTATAGATTTAGAATTTAGGTAGGAAGATTACATCTGAGTTTATTTTCCCCTGAATATATCTAGCATATATAAATTGATGTGGCATTAAGAATATTACAGATTCTTGTTTGATATGGCTTGTATACATTGTGTGACGTTTTTACTTGAGTGATGCAGCCATCCTAAGAAAATGGAAGGCAACAAAGTGTTTATACTGTCCTACTGAGAATGTCGTCTCTCTTCCCAAGTCCATGTAGTACTTGAGTGTAACATAAAAACACATCCAATAGGTGTGTGTATCTGAAAATGGCAGAAAAAATGGCACTTTCCATCTCAGCAGTCCCAGTGCTTCCCTGGCTGCCTCATGTTGACGATAGTTTTAGGACTTTTTTTTCACATTGGGAAAGACACTGTGTATTATTTTCCTACATCAACAAAAATAATCGTAAAAAATGCAAGGTATAGGAACATACTCTGTGCCGGTTATGTGATACATTGACTTTGCTGGTTATGCATATTTGGCTTTGGCCTTTTTAGAGCCTTCCTGAGTTTGGGTCCAATCTGCTGAAGAAATTGTCTTGTACTTTATGCTTTTGCGTACAGAAGAGGTTGCTTGGAAGAAAACGTTCTAGGTGAAAGATCCTTGCATTTTCCTTCTGTCCTTCTGCCATCTTGATTTGGTGACATGCTGTAAAATCCACCTATTCTCCTGGCTCATTTGGGACTCTGGAGAGCAGTAGATGAATGAGCCAAACATGAGAAACAGAATGGAGAATGGGTGTAGACAGCAACGCTTTCCTTCGGACCTTAAAGGCTAAGAGAATTTTTTCTATGTTTGGGATGTCCTGCTCCTCTGCATTAGGTAGATTGACTTTTTGTTCAGAGCAGGAATCTAATCTCTTTTCCCTTCTTAAAAGAAATATAAAAAAGTCACTCTGTTTATATTAACAGTGGACCTAGATTCATTTAGTTTTGATCTGATCCTCACAAAACATCAGATCTGTTTGCAAAACTAATAGAAGTGTAATGGCAAGAGCAGCAGTGGCAAATAATTTTTTTCTTTTTTTCTTTTTTTCTCCTTAATAACAAAGCTAAAAATGTGGTCTTAATTTATACACAGGATTACTGATTCGTATACTGTTAAAGCTATATAATAATACACCTAAAGCCTAGCACAGTTTATAAATACACAAAACATATGTAACTTAATAGTTATTTGTGCTGAATCTTTTTTTTTTCCCTGAATACTCTGTTCTACCTTTGTTACTCAGGGCACTAATGCTGCATTAACGTAAGCAGCAAACAGCTGCATTTATCTTCATTTTGTTCTTCCAAGTCACAGCAACATGCTGGAACAAAAGCCATTGTTTATAGCAAATCTTCTTAAGTCTTTTAAGGGCATCCATCGGGATAGACTTTGTGGTTATGGAAGGGCTGATGCTGTAAGTATTCAGTCCACTAATGGTCTCATTGATTTTTATTTATGCTCTTTGCAGGTTGCACAGAGTCTCACTTTGAGTAAGAATTGCAGAATATATGCTGAATTCAAGAATTACAGGCGTATGTTAAACTAAAACAAGGTTTCTATATCTGTCTTTAGCATGCTTAATCAAAGCGGTGGCTCAGAAGTAGACTGTTCAGTCTCCAGCGAAGCAGATGAGAAGTGTAATTGGTAAGCACTGCTAAAAACCAGGTGCATAAGTTTGAAAATGTTGATCCAAATCACATTATTATAAGTAGTAGGGAAATGTCATGACTTACTGAGATTAAACAAAGACCTGCTTAGAATCTTGTGACTTCAGCTCATAAATGGATTTCATCACTCATTACAGCTGCATAAACAAATGCATGTGGTATATATGCATGTTTTGTTTTTGGAAGTTGTTGTTTTTAAAATCCCCTCAGAGTTTTTTTTAATTGCTCCTAATGAGCCAACGTTCCCTAGTTCTGGAGCGATGCCTCGTGTACCTGAGCAGCATAGCACAGTCATTGCTTTTAAGGGAATAGTTTGCCTGCTTTTCTCCCTTTCTGGCAGCTGAACTGCTTTGGCAAGCAAGTTATTTTAAAGGAGAAATTTACAATATGAAACCTGGTGTCAAAACTTTTATTCCTTTTATGAAAGTAGTCTTAACCCTAGTGCTCCTTTGGAGCTATAGAAATGTAATCCCAGCCCAGTCAACAATTGGAGAAAGTCCTACGCAATGTCTGAGCTCATACTGAATAAGTTTGTCATGTATCTAGATGTTTTTCAGTTGTTTAATGTAATTCTTCATGTTGTCTCTGGCCTTGTTTCTCCTGATGGGCCTCTCATAAGGAATCCTAGAAATGGATGCCCTGTGATTATCCGTGGGTAATTAGTGCTTCCCTCATGTTTTCTTGCCAATATGTTGCAAGTGGGATGTGGCAAGATTAATCAAAGCTTTGGTCTTCCTGCTGCGATTATTACCTGAAGGCACTAATGATGGCAGTAGTTCGTGATGTAGAGCAGACACTTGTCTGTGGATTTAAAAAGTAGTACAGATCAAAACTAGCAAGCCATTCTCATATCTCTAGGTTAAAAGTTACTGCTTTCAGTTAAACCTATACTATTCAGCATCTCAAGGCAGGCAGTTATCAAAGTTTAACTTCGAGAAACTGGGTAATTCTTTGAACTTCAGTATGCCATTTCATACTCAGAACTGGGATGCTGTATTATTCCTGGATTGGTAGTGTCTCATTTTAATGTTACACTGTAAATTTTTTTTTTTAACCATATCTAAAGGAAAATTACTTTTTTTTTTCCCCAAAGAAAAATATTCAAGGATACTCCATTTTTGTTGCCATTTTCTGAGAAAGATTTAAAAATCAAATTTAAAAATGGATATTGTTGGGGAAAAATTGTACTTTTTTCCTATTTTACTCACAGCCTCCTTTTTATACTTCTAAAAACTAGAGTCAGGAAAGTAAAAAGAGCAACAATATGGGACAGTTCATGGCCAGGGGCGCTTACGCATATATCCTATATAGATGGATTTGGCCTGAAGTGGTTTAGTTTGTTTTGCTCCCTAGAAAAATAGAACTGGTAATAAAAAGAAATGTAACTTAAACTGAATGAAACGAAAATATTTTGCTTTTCTGTCAAGCAGCCTTAATTTTTAGGCAACTGGGGAGGAGTCTTAATCATGTGTGTTCTTAAAGCTTGCTTAAACAAATTGCTGAGTGTCTGAGGCATTGAGTGTCCTGCCCCTTCTGTTAAAGACTTCAGAAAATCCAGTTGCTCATCACCTCCGAAAACCTGCCCTCTTATGTAGGTAGCTAAAAAGATGCCTGACACTAGAGACTCGCACTCCAAAATGTTGCCTGAATGCCTTAAAATGTCACATTAAAATCAAGTGTGGTTCACCCACAAACCATCTGGCTTTACAGATCTGAAAACGATCTTTCAATTAATTAAGCTTCTCTGCTTCCTAATAAGGCCTATTTGAAACGCTCGGAGGCTGGAGACACCAGGGCTGTAGGTCTGCACTGAGCAGGAGTGTGGCTGTGGCCAAGGGTCCCCCTGGCTGGTAGCGGGCCAAGCCTCGCTGGGGAGCCCTGCCTCACCTTACCTTGCTGCGCTGGCTGTGCAGCTCCTAGTACGGGGCTGGGGAAATACCTGGCTTTCTCCTTATAAGGCCAGCGAGCTGCTGCGGGAGCCCTGTTCCTGCCCCAGCGCTTCCCGGCTCTGCTCAGCCACAGTCCTAAAAAGGCAGTTCCTTGCTCCCGCTTTCCACAGCTGAGCTCCCCAGGGAGGACAGCCCTCCCAAGTCAGGCATTTTACTTACAAGGAGAGCCGTACTTATGGATTTTGCTGTTGCTTCTCAAGGAAGCTGTTGTGTTTACAAGCACTGCTGGGGTTATCCTCTTGTTTAGTGAATAAGCAGTGAATAATGAGAAGTATAATAGCGTGCAGTGTCTGAGCCTGCAATCCTTTCTGCACAGGCACATTTCTGCAACAGT